CTTAGCATTTTCCTACAAATTTATGTTTCTTTTGATGCAGTTCTAAAACTAAAATAGTTTTTCTTCATTTCCTGGTAGTGTCATGCAGACATTTGCATTGTAGTTGGTCACACCAGTTCATGATGCTGGTGTGATGTGTCTGACTCATTATCGCTGGTTTATGGGGCTTGTTTATAACGTACTAAACACAGCTTCTGATGGACTGTGTGTAATGTAATGTCTGTGTGTGTGGCCATGTACGTGTGAAGTAATTTACTCTTTTTTTTTTTTTCTGCAGGTGAAGAAACCACACAGTGATTCTCATGTTCCAGACCTTTCAGACGCCAGGTATGCTCCTATGTGCCAGTCTGCCTACTGGAATAAGACCCAGAAAAGTTTTTTCTTCTTGTGTGTGTGTGTGTCCTAGGTCTTTGGTCATGGTGCAGAGAGGTGAGGTTTCACTGCAGTTAGAAGCTGTGATGAGGTCATCATTAGTCCTTCTCAAAAGCCTCAACACACACCCACACTCACACACACACACACATACACACACACACACACACACTCACACACACAGATTCAAACAAATAAGAAACAAACAGAATAGGTTGTATGCAGACTAACAAAATGTTAAGTCTGCTCATTATAACCAAATAGCAGAAACAACGGGCGTTGATCTTTATAATGTAGTTTTTTGTTCCATTTAAACAGTTTTCAAACACTAAATATGAAGTATTCTGATGCATGCTCAGTAATCCAGGTAGAAAAAAATATGAAAATATATGAAAATATGAAATTGTTTTAAACTTAAAAAAAAAAAAAAATTCTGCATCATTGTGATTTGATTTTAAAATAAGACCACTTAAGATCAGTAGTCAACACTTTTTGAAGTGGAGTTCTGTGGAATGGTTGTGAATAATTAATATCTTACCTGTTGTGGATAGCACTTTAAATTATCTTAGTTTTTACAAATGCAGTTTAATTCTGTCTTTAATTGATGAGTTGATGGTTATTTTTGCAAGCTTGAGATTTAAGTGGATTGCTGCTATAATAAAACAACTCGAATAGCGTAAATATCTACAGCAGTAGCAGCTAGCTGTAGCACTTCTGGCAGGAATATCAATATTTTTACTGGAAAAACTTTGTAAAGCAAAACTGACAGTGGTGGAAAAGTTATATGTAAATTTATCATTGGCATGAAATGCTATATAATATTTTCAGATTATTTTTTTTGCCAGCGTCTACATTAGTCTCTGCTTCGCTCCAACTAGCCATTAGCTCTTCAATCAAGTAAACCCTTTTTCTTCAAAATGAAACAATTTTCAAGCTCCATCGACAATTAAAGTAATTGTTCCTAACTTTTTCCACAGAACATCCCTTCAAATGATCTGAACGTTCTACTTTAAAACTTTGAGTTTTAGCCACAACTCCAAAATAATGCATCAACCATCATCATCTTTAGCCACAACTGTTTTTCCTGTTTATTTATTTTGTCTCTGAACTTGTACACTAGTTAAAAAACAATGGTGAAATAAAACTAACAGCAATGTTTTAGTCTTGGGGCTATAATCCTTCCTTCCTTCAGCTTGTGGTACATTTTAATCAAATATTGCATACTTTATACTTTAGCCATGGACCAGACATAATGTGAAAACCAGAAAAGAGTTTATGAAACACCCGCTCCTGCCATTGCCTCCTGAGAGGAGCAAAACAAAAAGAGGGAGAGGGGTGGGGGTGCAAGGAAGGGTGGAAAAAAAAAAAAATGAGTTCCTGTTGTTGAGGAATTAAATAAAGGATGGATGAAGTGTTTTTGAAGCGCACACAGAAAAAAATCTCTGAAACTTCTTAACTTTTGTCACCTAGTGGATATGAGGCGTTTGTTAAAGTGAGCTCTCAGCTGATGGTATAACAATCAGCAGCATCAGTCCAAGATGAGAACTCACAGCTTGCCTCTCCTTTTTTCTTCTTTTTAAAATGTACATTTTTTGCTGCTGCTTCTAATAGCTCCAGTTTTTACCAGTCATTTTAGCATTGCAGTCATGTGATTCTGCCTAAAGCACTGAGACGTTCTACTTTTCTACACGGATGTACACTTTTTATTTTCCACACAGCAGCTCATATCTGTTTGGTTCTCCTTCCATCTCTGTCATTTTGGGGGGCTTTGATGTCCCACACAAAAGCACAAGTGTGACCCGGCCTGCAGGCTACATGAGTCAGGATTTATAAGAGGTACCATCCACAGACGGGATGACTTCACATCAAACTATGCCTTCCACCAAAGAGCATGTCAAACCGCGGGTTTGTGGCAACTGTGCTGACGAGCCGTAAACTAGTGTTTTAGGTTGTTTCTTTTCAGACTAGTTTCTAAAAAACACTTTACCTTTCAGCACAGGGTTGATCAACCCCAGAGTTGCCAAGGTACCAAGTAATACAGATCACACGCACTTTATTATGGCCACCTCTTGTGCTGCTTCGTCCCAGTCATCATGCAGAGCACATTGTAAAACTAAATCATCCTGGCAGGCTGTGGGTTTGTATTGAAGCCCAGAAATGTGGACACACACGCGCGCACACACACACACACACAGCCACTCCATAAAAGAGTGAACAGGCCCACAGACAATGTCCGCCACCTTTGAACACAAGCTCATATAGGCTAACTGGTGCTGAGCAGCATGAAGTTTACGACTGACCGGGATTCCTGTACACTCACCGTATGTGTAGACCTGTCGCAATAAACAATAAATCAATTAATCGCATGATTGATGAAAATTATCGACCTCATTTTCATTTATCAGCTTTATTATTATTATATTGTTATTATTGTTATTATCATCATTATTATTATTATCATTTCTTCGTGTCTCTCTTTCTACTGAAGACACTGGATGACAAAAGGCTCAACTCAGGTGCTCTTCACTGACCCCTCCTTGTCTCTTCTCTTTAAAATCCATTTTAACCATCCAAAATCATATTTTTGGATCATTAAAAGCAGCTAAGCTGAGAAGCTAAGCTATAAGCTAAGCTAACAGGTCGACCATGGGGAAAATGACCTCTGTCTTGTCAAAGCTCCAAAATTCAGTCAAAACCCGTGCCTTCATGTAAAAAGTTTCTCTGCTAAAAGAAGCTGAGAACTTGTTTACTGATTTTATTTGTTTTTATTAAAAGCTTTGTGTGAAAAATGCTATGCTAAAGAGCTCAAACCAAACTGAGCGTCTGCATTTTGAGAACAGAAGAGACAGCCCATGTCACGTCAAGGGACCTCCCTCCCATATTTCTTAGAGACATGCCATTTGCTCCCTCACTATCCATTCTTTGGTTCAGTCTTATACTACCATCCAGTGGTCGAAAAATGGTACTACACTCAAAACAAATTAATCAACATTTCTTAAATTTGACCATAATTACTAATTATGGTCAAATTTCAAACAATATTATCATTTATCACAATAATTTCTGAGACAATTAACCACCCAGCAAAATTTGTTATCGTGACAGGCCTATGTATGTGCTCACTGGGATCCTAACGCCATGTTTCAGCTGCCTGTTGCTGTTAATCTGTTGCTCGTTCAAATGTTGCACTTCAACTTCTTCTCCCCTCATCCTCCTGCCCATTAGGTCTATGGAAATGCAGGACCTAGCCAGTCCTCATAACCGCGTCGGAGCTGGAGATTCGACGGGCTCCAAGCTGGACAAGAACAACCTTGGCAGCCCCTCCATCACCACCAATGGAACAGGAGGTGAGAAGGCACATGTTTGGTTGTGAAGCTGAAAAGGGTGGCTATATTGATACTTTGTACTTGTTCCTTTTTTAACCTACAATTTAAAATGTATATGTAGACAACCCAACTTGAATATATTGTCCATTTATTATCAAATGGAACCTCGAGAGGTGAGGTATTCCCACCACCAGTATTTGATGGTGAGTCTTTAACAAAGGTACTAATAGTGCACTTTGATAAAACAGTCACTTAAGACATCAGCCAGCATCCAAACTCCATTTTAAGACTGACCCTCATCAGTGAAGTCAGTTTTGCTTGAGTGTGTTACATCAACAGATCTGATCATTCTTAATGGTGATTGCTCTATGAAATAAAATGGCGTGCAAAATACTTCAACAAAAACATACATATTATGAGAAGTACGTTTTCAAGTTAAGTTTCTCCAATGGTTGACAAAGGGTACCATGTAGTGCTTTCATATTTATTTATTCAAAAATTAGTTTCTTCCTGAGATAACTGACCTATGAGTTCATAAAAAAAACACTCAGAAGATCCAGAAGCCTTTGAGTAAGTGCTGGGTGATGACTCCACTTCGATTTAAGATCAGCCTGAATGTGTCTGACCTTTGTTGGGTCTCTGTGAGACCTTCAGATGTTTGTTACGATGCATAGGATGTCCTCTTTAGTCTTGATAAGAGCAAGATAAGTTGTGAAGAGTTTTGAGCATGCACAGAACTTTTGTAGTAAAGTTGTGATGGTTTATCGTCATGGTGGCTGAGTATCAGTCATGGAGGGTGACTGGTAATGGTGTATTCATGATGTGGGCCCATGTGCATTGGTGTCACAGTGGTCAAGAATTGAAAGAAAGGTTTGCCACCTTGGTCTCATGTCTGGGGCACGACCGTGATAACTTGAGGTTATTAAAACAACCTTGTGCAGACATGACACCTGCAGTCGTAGCGCTATGCTAGTGTGACGTAGGAGTCATGTCTGACGTGGGGCAGGTGCATCTGTAGATGTGCATGATCATGTTGTCCTCAATGTGCTGCTGAATCAGAGTGCAGTGAGGGTGCAGGAGAGCATCTCATGGACACTGAGAGCAGCAGGAAAATCCTACTTGGTTATCTACTTGGTAGAGTTATGGTAAATGGACTGTACTTACGGGCTGTTCAGTCCCTATACAAGGGGTGCAAGAGTTTGGTTCGCATTGCCGGTAGTAAGTCGGACCCCTTCAGGGTGGGAGTTGGACTCCGCCAGGGCTGCCCATTGTCACCGATTCTGTTCATAACTTTTATGGACAGAATTTCTCATTGCAGCCAGCTGGCAGAGGGTTTTATCTCTGCTCTTTGCAGATGATGTGGTCCTGTTGGCGTCATTGTGCCATGATCTTCAGCTCTCACTGGAGCGGTTTGCAGCCGAGTGTGAAGCAACTGGGATGAGAATCGGCACCTCCAAATCTGAGGCCATGGTCCTCAACTAGAAAAGGGTGGATTGCTGTCTTCAGGTCAAGAGTGAGGTTCTGCCACAAGTGGAGGAGTTCAAGTATCTGGGGGTTTTGTTCACGAGTGAGGGAAGAATGGAGCGTGAGATTGACAGATGGATTGGTGCAGCATCTGCAGTATTGCGGACTCTGTACTGGTCCGTTGTGGTGAAGAGAGAGCTGAGCTCTAAGGCAAAGCTCTCTGTTTACCAGTCTGTCTACGTTCCTACCCTCACCTATGGTCATGAGCTCTGGGTAGTGACCGAAATAATGAGATTGCAGATACAGGCGGTTAATATGGGGGCCGAGATGGTGTAGAGGCAGGGCAGCTGGCTTGGGACCCGAAAGTCCCAGGTTCGATCCCCAGTCACTGCACATCACATGGCGTCTCTGGGCAGCACGTCTCATCCCCAAAATGTCCCCCGGGCGCTTTCAATAGCTGCCCACTGCACCACCTGGTGGTGGATGGGTTAAATGCAGAGACTAATTTCACCATTGTATGGAAACATACAGTGCTGACATTGTGATGACATTATTATTATTATTATTAATATGAGTTTTCTCCGCAGGGTAGCTGGACTCTCCCTTAGAGATAGGGTGAGAAGTTCAGTTATCCGGGAGAGACTCGGAGTAAAACCGCTGCTCCTCCACGTCGAGAGGAGCCAGTTGAGGTGGTTCGGGCATCTGGTAAGGATGCCCCCTGGGCAACTCCCTATAGAGGCGCTTCAGCCATGTCCAACTGGGAGGAGACCCCGGGGAAGACCCATGATACGCTGGAGAGACAATGTCTCTCGGTTGGCCAGGGAACACCTTGGAGTCCTCCCAGAAGAGCTGGAAGAGGTGGCTGTGGAAAGAGATGTCTGGGCCTCCCTGTTCAAGCTGCTGCCCCCGTGACCCGACTTCGGAATAAGCGGAAGCTAATGGATGGATGGATGGATGGATGGATGGATGGATGGATGGATGGATGGACGGACTGTACTTATATAGCACCTTTTATCTTAAGATACACAAAGCACTTTACACTACAATCTGTGTCCTCATTTACCCATTCATACAGCACTCTACTAGATCTGTACAAAGACTAATCAGTGCATTAGATCACATTCATACACCGATGGGACACGCATCAGAGGCAATGAGGGGTTCAGTGTCTTGCCTAGGGACACTTTGGCATGCGACTTCTGGTGGAATCAAACCCCCAACTCTCGCTGTAACCACGCAGCCACAGTTGCTCGTTAGTTCTAAATGTTTTCACATTGGAGGACAATTTCCAAATTTGCCACAATCCAGCCAAGTTCCACTAAAGATGTGGAGATTGTGGAAACCAAAACAAGGTCGTCAGCAGAGAGTGTAAATGAGCAACTTGGCTAAAATTGTTCAAACTTTTCATGGAGTTTTACTAAAATAGTTTTCATCTAAATTTAGGTTGTTTTTTTTTAACGTCGGAACATTATTTTAAAACAGATTCTGTGGTGGTTTTAAAACTAGAGGTCAGCTCATCAAAGTTTTTTTTTTTTCTTTTTTTTTTTGTTTGTTTGTTTTATGGCCGATTTTAAATCTTTAGAAATCAGAGCAGTCGATGGACGATATAAACACAATTTAAAAAATTTTATTTGGGGCTTAAATGTATTTTTAATTTACAAGTACAACAATAATTTGTTACTTTAATTAAAAAAATGTTTTTAACAACCTTTAGAAGAACTTGTACACTTAAAAAAAACAAACAAGTAAATATATTGCTTAAAAAATTACATTGGGGGCTACAGTTAGGTGGTTGTAGCAACTCTTGCTTCATCTTCAGTTTCCTCCCTGGTAATTGATTAAATATGCACAGGCGTGACCGATAGACTTAAAAAAAAAAAACCTAAAAATAAAAAAAAAAAAATCGACGAGAACTGCA